CTATGGCTTCGCTATTCTAATCTAAAGTTTGATAGATTATTTCAGTAATAGCTGTTAACAATTCGACGTTTTTATCTAGAGAAGCGATAGCTATATTGTTAGTCTGAAAGAAAACTTAAAATAACCACATCGGCAATTATAGTTGTAATTCTCAATTACTTTATTCTCGTACCAACGAGATACAAATACAAAAATCTATATTCGATCCCGACCCCTCAGCTGTTTATAATTATTAACACTGAACAAGGCAACATATATCTGTTTGTGGAAGTCCTCCATTATCTAATGAGAGCTTCCATTTCTATTCTACATGTTCTCTCCCTCCTCTGACCACAGGACGGATTAACACGGTCAGTTGAAGGTTTGCCCCAGAATATGTGTGCGATTGTCCTCGCATTTGTGGGGATAGAAGTCGATGTGCCCGCGTGTTTCGACGTGGGCGTTTACTTAGGGCTGGTTTTGTCCGATATTGGTTTTCTCCTGCATTACTTTGTACTGGACCCACTGGATCTGTGCTGTCATCAATTTCCATTCCTTCTGGTTCATTGATTGCGATATTTGGTTTATGTTGTACGTTGGGCGATAAGGGATCATAAACCGTGTCGATTACCATAGAGGATTCACAAGGTCGCCGCGACCGCCTCCAAGGCCCTGCATAGGTAGTATACCGTTTCTGGTCTAGATACGGTTAATCGATTTTCTGTGTTACTATCTTGAACCGACTGTAAATCGGGGTGCCATGAGATCGAGAGACCACTCCTTGGGTAGAGTGATGTGGTACGTCAACAACTGCGTGGATTGTACGGAGGAAACGACGGTTGTGTAGAGTTACTCAATTGCTTCCATTCAGCAGCACACGGTACTGCCGGGTACCCGGTTACCGAGTATCTCCGTTATTCTCCCTGTTTTTGTCCACTGACGAGGACCCGGGCCATCCTGATACTGGATATGAATAGAATCGCTAATTTGTAATTCGCGAAGTGAGCGACAATATTCATCTTAAAAGTGTTCGTCTCGAATCCGCTTTTTAGACATTGCTCTCATGCCACCAATTTTCCTCCCCCGTTTACATATGTGGTGTTTGTCCCGTAGGACAGGGAGATAGTCTTTGATAACATGAGAGCAGATGATATGCCAAGATCCTGGACGGGAATATTGCATTGGGTCAGGAAAGCAGTGGCAGCACGATCATGGCAGTAACGACCACAGCTGGCCGTATTGTCAAACTTACAGCAACCGCCGTCTGTCTAACTCTCTGCATTAGCAGGGAGGAACCCGGACGAAGCTTTGCCGAAGGGTAAGGTTTCGTTCGGGGAGGTTGACAGCTCTCGAACCCGCCTAGGCGGGTTCGAAGGCTATATTTTTGGCCGGACCTACGGGGTCGGATTGCCCACATTAAACTCTGCCTTGTGCCACATGCTACCCCACGTGGGGGTGGGGGGACAGCTAAATATAGCTGTCCGTATTGTCTGTGATTACACGCTTAGCTGTTTTGACGGCCAGTTCTGTCCAGCCATTCCTTTGCCGACGAAGTATGTTTCCATATTCCCCAATTGTTGAAGAAAGAGTCTTGGGAATTAAAAAGTGGTCGCCCGTCGAAAGAATGTCGTTCAGGTGCACCATATGTGCAGAACAAAGTCCTGACCTTCCAAGATGACATTTAGGGTCAGTTTCACCCAACATGTGTACTGATCTGCACGTATAACATGCATTCTACGAAGTTGTCGAGCTATAAGAATTTGATTCCGCTTAATCGGTACACCCTCGACGCAGTACAATTCATCGCGTGTGGGCTAAAACCGAGAGATCCTCAACGGCAGGTGATGACGTGATTTGGGGCAACCAGTACGCATATATTCTATCAGATTCCGACATTCTTATTCAGTTGCTACTGATGTAAGAGCCCCAATCTAGGGTCATGCTTGCATGTGGATATGAATTCAGCCTTGATTGAACAATCGATTGGTTCGACTGCATCAGTTCTAGTCGCCACGTAGAATGACTGTATGCGATTCTGTTATATATGTGCAGATGATATTTGGGGACGTTTTGTCGAGTCCTCTGGTTTGATCCATGCTGGGTACCGGAAGGCGCAGTCGGGTGCAACATTGACTTTTCCAGCGAGAGGTTTAATGCTGAATTTGTACATACTTGAAATGGGTTTTTATGTTTCCGAGGGCCCAATTTGAGAAAATTTTTATGAGTGGTTGATGGTCAACAGTCACTAGCAAATCCCAATATAAACATCCAACATGGTTTTAGCCAATAGAAAAATGCCAGCACTTCTCTTTTGATCGGTGCATAGCGGGATTCTGCGTCGTTGTTAAAGCGAGATCCGGCCAAAATAATTTTCCAGTGACCATCAATTTGAGTTCGCTTCGCCATGACAGTTATAGTATTTTTGAAAAAGAAAGTAACTGATTGCTGCTTTACTGTAATCTTTTGAAAGGCATGTCGTTCTATTCATCTCGAATGTCTTGAATCCGCCCCCAATTTTTCACACGATTACTCGCTTCGACTCCTCAAAAGGTTGGTCAAGCGTTTCGTCCAAAAAAATTTTCGGTTCTTCGAGCGCAGTAATTCCTATAAGAGAGCCCATCACCTCAGCTTATGTGAATGCAAAAGACATCTGATTCACCAGTCCAAACCAGGACCCAACGCCCGTGACCTCTGTGGGCGTATGAAAGTGAAGGCTGGCCACAGTCACTTTTTTCGGTCGTTTCACACCATAAGCCGTTATGAAGAACCCGGCAATCCCCACCTCGTTCTCTGCAAAACCTCATTCTTCCCACAGTGTGGGTTATATATTCCATTGTGTGCCAGAACAAGGACTTTATGGAATCGTTGCAAAGGAGGCTATCGTCTATGCAGCGGGTTTTTTCGAACGATATCCACTGCAATATCGTCGAACCGACGGGTATATCCGTCTCCAGACGCGTGAAATCCCTGGGGAGCACGAAGATATCTGTACCGGCCTCATTCATTGATAAATGTAGTGGCATCTTGTGCGGCTGGGGAAAGCGGTAAGCTGTGGTACTCGTTCCATGCGTTGAGAACTGTTTATCTTGTCTGAGCTGGAACGATAAAGACCTGATTAAATGTTGGTGGCGCGTAATGGGTTTTCCTCATAGAGGCAGCGTTCAGTTCTTGTATGTCTACCATGCATCTGAGGGAGCTGTCTTTTTGGGTGCGACGAGCATCCATGAGCACCAGGTTGTAGGAGTGCCTACTGGAACCGGTTGAATATACCGAATGCGATCCAGGTCTTGTTTCACTCTTCTTCCAATGGTGAGGGACAGTGGCTTTCCTGTCATAGTCTGTAAGTGTTTGGTGTGAGCATCTATTAAATGCGTTGGACTTGAAATGGTCGCGTATCTATAATTGCAGTAGGTGCCTGTTGGTTTCCATCGGGAGGAACGAGATTTTCCTAACATGATTTATCGAATATTCAGGTTGGTAGATAATAGGTTAAACTGTTGCTTGATTCTTGCTTTGTCGTCTGAACAGTATAGTAGAGTCCGTTGGGAATCGTCTTCGATATAAAGAGCAAAATGACGTTATTCACTTTGCCAAAAATTTAGAAACAGCATGATATATTGCTTGGAATTCACATCGCAATCTCCAGTACGAATATTTCAGTGTTTGGTACACTGAGGAGAGTACAAAGGATTTGGAAAGAGTTGGAGGAATCTAATGCTGATTACGAAGATGTTTATAGTAATCACTAGTGATGACGACGTTATGCCTCCATTCCTCTTCGCCCAGGGTTTCAGATTCAAATACGGAATCCTATATCAAGTGCTTTGAGGAGGTAGAGCTGTACTTTTTCAAGAGGGTTGCTGCTTGAAGATCTATGTCTGGCAACAGGACTTATGATGATGCCACACAAGCTGGACCACCCAGTCATGGCTGTCACACAATTTCTGCGACCACATCACCCCTTATATCAAGTCACCTAACACCCCAGACTTCCAACCCCTTTGATTATCTGTGGGGTGCAGTTGAGCGACAGACCAACGAAACCGCTTCTAACACCAAAGATGAACTGAAGACAGGGGTTATGTCAACATTCATCAATTTAAACAAAGATGCCGAGCCAGAAGAGATGCAGGAGATTCTGCCAAAGATTGAAGCCAATGGGGATTTTATTGACTAAATTTACTCTTCAGTGTTTCAAGATATTTTTTTGTAATATATCTCTTAAAATGAGATGCCAGTGTTATTTTCATTTGTGAATAATTGAGACGTCAATTTATCCATCGCAACATGTATATAAGAAGAAAATAAGAAAGTGAATGACCCACACGCTTGATTTCATAATATCCCTCTGTGGCACATATGGAATGAAACATGCAGAATCCAGTTTTTAAACTGCAACGAATTGACACTAACTCGGTTATAATTACGAATGACGCCTTGTGTAGCATTTCCGTCATGCTTAGAGTATTTGCGCTTATGTAAATAGAATGAAATCGCTTGGATTTGGAAGACCGCTTTCCGATTTACGATTCCGTACCGTTATTTATTACACCAATTCACCCCTTGCACATCCAAGCTTACTGCACCTGGTATTCCCAAGCGGTCACCCATCCAGATACTAAGCAATCTCGATGTTGCTTAATTTCGGCGTTTCAAATCATAAGCTGTTCTTAATACCCGTTTTAAAATCTCTCTTTTTAATGATGTTCAAATTTTTTTCATATTCTTTAACGTTCAATAACATCTTGCTTCTTAGTGGCTTTATTTCTTTCTTGGGGTGTAATGGGTAAAAAAAAGGAGTCACATAGTTGCTTGCTTTCTCTCCTTAACCTCTTGCCTCTTAGTGGCTTTATTTCCTTTGTTTGGCTGTAATGGTTACAAAAAAAAGTCACACAGTCTCTCATTCTTCTCTCCTTAACCTCTTGCCTCTTAGTGGCTTTATTTCCTTTCTTGGGGTGTAATGTTTAAAAAAAGTCACACAGGCGCTCTTTCTCTCTCCTTTACTTTATTTTCTCCTCTAGTTCCCGTTCTTTTTCAATAATTTCTATTACACACTTTTAATCACTTTCCAAGCTGCCTTTTCTACTTTTCATTCTTTTATTATCATCATCTTCCTTGTAACACTCTTCGTCTCTCTCTCTCTCTTTTCACAGCCTTATGTCATTTTGTATCTTTTTCTTCCTTACAAATGTACAATCTTTTCTTTCATTCTGCTAGTTTTTCTTTCCTTTTCTAAAGTAAACTTAGACAATATTTCGACTGAAATATTCACTAAGCA